TAAGTAATTTTCAAACTTTTTATAATTATTACATTAGCAATAAACTAAAACTATCTAACGAATCATTTTCTCACTTTCTTTAGATAGACTGAAAATAACATGTATTTTTAGTTTAATTAAAATATACCTCATTAATGAAGTCCTGCAAACTTGTTTATCATCTTCAAGTTTTTTAACTTATGTTACATAAATAGGAAATCACATTAGAATTCATGACAAGGGTTTAATTTAATTATGTGGCCATACTTAAAATAGGGTAGTCTGGTATGGTCAAGCCAAAAGTTTATGTCAAAATTCAACAAAAATAATAAAGTACTATTTCTTATATACAATTTTGTTATAAATTGAGTGGTTAGTTTTTAGTTTTACAGTTCAATAAACTACCCTAATAGAAACTAATAAAAAAATTCTTCATGTACCACAAAGACCAAACTATTAAGTAGAGTAGTGCTTGAAATATATACTTAGTTATAACTACAAACTTTTTGTATATATAAGAGTATGATCTAAGATTATCAAACCGTGGTCAGCATTTATAATATTGTCATGTGCCAAACGTACAAATGTCAACTGAAAGAAAGCATATACATCCCTGCAGTTCTATACTATATGTATTGATGGTTTATTTTATCCTGTACGTTTTCTAGTGCAAAGTGATATAAATGGAACAAAAAAACTTTCGTAAAGCAATACATTGTCATTACAAAAACTTAAGGGATACTTAGCTATGATAAACAAAACGCAACTCGCATATTAAGTTAAAAATAAGAAAACTAAAATAATTTATAACAGCGCAAGGTGAGCAGTAGTCAGATTTTCACATGAGATTTTTTTATTTTTGAATGTAATGTGATATATCAGAAGTTCATTTAACCTCAAGTTATGTCCAAATTAATTTGTATATATGTATGTATAAGTTCATACAAAAATTATATCATACGTGACAGGTATAATATCAAAAATTAAGCGGCCTCGATATTGGTACTTAAATTAAATGAGAACTATAGACCAACTTATAGTATTAACTCCTACTCATAAACTATAAACAATAGCCTTCTTTGTTTAAACTAAAGTATATAATCGTACAGCACTACTGCCAAAAAACTAGCTAAAATATGCAGAACATTTTATGAAATTCCTAACTATGTAAATAACACAAAGAAGATACTAAAACCTAAAACTAGACACAAAGGTAATAAGAATTTATGATAATGTTGGTGACAATGTATAAAAGCCTTAAATTCATTTGTTAGTACATAAATAAAAAACTAAAAATTTTATATCTCACAGCCATTTTGCCAACTAAAGAAAAGTCCTTTGTTTGTATGCAAACAAAAGTGAAAAAAATAAAGCATAAAATGAAAAACTACAAACAAAATATACATATATTTAAAGAGCAGCTTGGCAAATATCCGGTCATAAAATCATTTGTGTAAAGTGCATCAATAAAAACATGATGAAGACATACAAAACAAACAAAAAATATGTATAACAAAAGAAGAAAATTAAAAACAAACAGACGAAAACTATGTAATGGAAGCACCGAAGAACAAACGTAAAACAAGATGAAATTACAAGTAAAAATAGCAAATATGAAAAAGCAAAAAAAAAAAATGTGTGTCTTCTATTACATCATGAACTTTTGAAGCGAGAACGTGATGAACATAAACAGCTCTAGGAAAATGTTACAATGTTGTGTTCATATGTAACGGAAACCGTTGTTAAAAGAATTCCTAACATACACATGTATCTGAAGGATATACTTAAACCTATATAAGTATATGTTACAATTTCGTTATTTCTATTTGTGAGTTTAATGCATGGTTTGCCATTAAAATAAAGTCTCAAGTATCATAAATGTACAAAAGTAATTTGGGTCTGAAGGTGACACCTTCGCAAACATTAAAAACAGCAATAAAACTATGTACTTAAAGTTTTAAAATTATTATATAATTCTGTATTCAAAAGAAATTCTAAGATTTTTGTACCCTCCATCAGTGGTGATAGAGAGTATATATAACTTTGTCATTCCGTGTATAACACCAAAAACTATTCATCTGAGACCCAACAAAGTATATATATTCTAGGTCCTTATCAAATTCTGTAAAACACGCTCACGGTCAAATGAAGCAATAGAATTTACCGAAATTCACCCAAAATGTTCTTCATTTTCTTAAGTTGTTTGGTAATGAAAATGGCCAAAATCGGTTCACATCGGGAAAAGTTATGAATCAAAATTTAAAAACAACCTCGAAAAAAATAAACATTTTTTATACATTCTGATGTAATTTTCTCGAAAACTATGCACGATAATTCGATGGAAATTACCATACATTCGTTTCTATACAAGAACTTGATCTCAACTGAAAATTACTACAATCGGTCACAATTTCATGTAGCTCCCATACAAAAATACATATTCCCGGAAAATGGGTTTTTTGTTAATAACTTTCATCAGAATGTTGATATCTTCACAAAATTTCACAAATTAAAATCATATGTCAATAGAATTCATACAGAGAAAACATTTTCTGTATCGGTCCATAATTAGACATAGCTCCCATACAAGGACCCTCCCTGAAAATCACTTAAATGAGCATAACTCATTACTAAATTAAGATATCCATATAAAACTTGGTATAAGTATTACCCATATGCATAGAAATATTACTGTGAAATTTTTTTCCGATCGGTCCATAATTGGTCATAGCGCACATACAAGGTCCCCTCCCGAAAATCACTTAAATGCGCATAACTCATTACTAAATTAAGATATTCATATAAAATTTGGTGCAAGTATCGGTCCGATCGGTCCATAATTGGTCATAGCTCCCATATAAGATCCCCTCCCGAAAATCACTTAAACGCGCATAACTCATTACTTAATTAAGATATCCATATAAAATTTGGTATAAGTATTACTCATATGCATAGAAATATTACTGTGAAAGTTTCTTTGAATCGGTCCATAATTGGTCAGAGCTCCCATACAAGGTCCCCTCCCAAAAATCACTTAAACGCACATAACTCATTACTAAATTTCCATATAAAATTTGGCACAAGTATTATTAATATTACTGTGAAATTTTTTTTCCGATCGGTCCATAATTGGTCATAGCTCCCATACAACGTACTCTCCTGATATTTGATCAATAAGAAAAGTATTAATATAAGAGTCGCACTCTAACTTCTTTTACGCTACAATAATATCCGCTCCAACTTCTTAGTAGACACAAATAGTGGTTTTTATACTATTTTATACATATCATTAATCAACTGTTATCTATAATTTTTTTATTGTTAGTTAAGTAAATATAATAATATTTGCATTAATCATAATAAATAACCTATTGTATTCAAATTGATTTGTTTATGATAACAAAAGATTTTTACAAATTATGTGGCAAAATAAATATATATATATATAACCTTCAAATCAATAAAAGAAAAACAATAATAATTTATTCAAAATAATAAAACAATAACATGGCAGTGGTTATGAAAGTGTTCTAAATCTTTAGCTAGCACTACTACATATAGAATATAAATCTTTACATCCGCCTTAAAGTATACTAGTCAACTCTGCATTGCTGATCTTTTGACGATCACTCAACTACGAAAACATATACCCATTACATATACCCATTTAACAATCCAAAATTTTACTATAACAATCCAATTTAAGAGTAAATCTTACTTATTCTTTCCTGTCAGTTATGACATTTGAATATTAAAACCGTCTTACATATAAACAAAAAATATAAACTTGTAGACAAAATAAACAAAAAGTTGTTTATTGAGAAAAAAATTCGTCTATATGTAGACGCCTTAATAAGCGATTAATAAATAACATTACTTTAAAACAAAAGAAAATATATGTATTATATATAAACAAAGTCTTTTTGTTAAACACAATGACAAAGAGCTGCCATGACGGCGTTAAGAATGATAGAGAAAAAAATGACTGAGATGATGAAATCATCACCGTCATCAATGCTATAATACAATGAGCAATGAGATTTTAGTCTTGACGAAGAAATGCCATGACGGCGTTAAAAATGATGAAGAGAAAATAACTGTGATGAGGAAATCATCACCGTCATCAAGGCTGCTATATTACAATGAACATCAATTTCGTTTTCTGTACCATTTTCTTTCAATAACTTTTCTTTTGCTTCACACTTGGTTTCTTTACGCTGAAGGAAACCTTTATTTTTTTTATATAAATGTCAATCATAAAAATATGGTGTTATGACGATGGGAGTCAACAAAATAGGAAGAAAAAATACTGAATGATATCAGAAAGACAACTACAATTTGATTGAAGTTAAAATGACAAGGTTGCCGTTTGCATACTGGGGTTAAGGAGTAGAGAATTGGTAAAAATAACACATAAAACACATTCATACGTATGAGTAATATTAATTACGTATTTTATTTATATGTATACGTATATGTATATGAAACTGCTTCCGGCTAAGGGAATATTCGTAAAAAAGGGATGAAAATTAAAAATGAGTTCATGTCTCTAGGTTCAATATTATAAAAAAACTCTATATGAAATGTATGGAGAAAAATAAAGCGTGATCCCATAGAAAAGTTTGGTTCCTTCTAAGATCTAAATTTTTGCTGTGGGGTCTATATTTTTTAATCTGGGTTAATGGATAAAATCCTTTTTTAGGATTTTTTTAATTTTTGGTATAATTTGAAATGTCTTTGAGAGGGCCTTCCAATATACAAATTTAGATAATAATTTTTCGGTAAAATGTTAAGTTTTAAATTTAAATTCTGTCTAATTAATATAAATGAAAAGCGTATTATTTATTATCACTGCTAATTGCATTTTAAAATAAATTTACCAACGCACAAGCGAAAATTCTAAAATCCGTTCAATTTAACTTTTTAATTTAATAATATGATATTTTTGCCATTTAATTACATTTTTCAATATTTCACACCTCTTTTGCATGCTAATGACATTTCAATAAAAACATGTACAGTGGAGTAAATTACAAGTGACATGTCAGCAATTGGATTGTATGCAACGTCATGCCGAAGGCCATGGAAATTTGTGGCATAAACAGGCAATCGTCTTAAATGAAAACCATCATCAACAACAATTGCACGAACAGCAGAGGCAACAACAGCAACATCAACAGCAGCAGCAACAAATGCTACAACAAAAGACTGATATAAATTTAGCATTAGCAAACCAACTTATATTATCGACATCATCATCAACGGCAACAAACGTAACAGCATTAACAGATACAACAACGACTACCACAACAACAACGACAGCGGAAGTGGAAGTCGAAACGGAAACATCCTCAACAGTGTTAAGTGCGGTTTCTCATGAAGAAGCGGGCATGGCAACAGCAACAACATCACCATCATACGGCTCATCAATAATAAAGGGGGCAATAACAGCATCAACACCATTGTCCTCATCACCTATACCACCACAACTACAACTGCCACAAACCACAGAAGATGTTGCACAAAAAACATCACCCAACATCTCTCCCATCGTCCATCTACAAACGCCATCAACAAATGCATTAAATTCTTTTAACGTCATACCATCAGCGCATAACGTAACGACAGCAAAGGCTTCTTCCTCATCCGTCAGCAAACCTAATGATTGGGTTGTAATTCCGGTGTTTGCGGATATTGTTAAATTAGCTCTGGCAGGACGTGAAGACTGTTTGCAACGGTAAGTGAATCACTTTGTTTACTTAGTAAAAACCAAAATTGTGAGAAGTGATAATGATGATAATAAGTATTACTAAACATACATTGAAAACTCTCGAACAACAAAGGCGGATGCAACACTTAACTCCACCCCCTTGTTGGATGCCACCTTTAATAACAAACATGAATATAATCTCATATCATATGCTCTTCTACAGAGTTCTTAAGTACATGAATTGAAGTACTGTGTAATATAATGATTTTAATTAAAATGACAACGATTGATGCTGAAATATAGCAAACTAATGATTAAGGATAATGTTTAACAACACCTCCTTATAATAGAGTTATTGAAATTAATTTGGTTTTAAGTGATTTTCTTAATCAAACATAAAATAAGGTAATAATTTAATTTTGTTGTTAAAAGGAATTTTGTTTTTAAAGCAGCTGTGCCGCGCATTTAATGTAGTGGGTTCAAAAATAGAACAATCATACTTACAGAATCTTCTACTACATGCTTACATACATATGTATGTATGTATATCAATTTTATCACAATATCGATAATATTTATTATTAGATTTGTTCACGTTAGAATCCTTTTCTGAAGGACTTTTAGGGCTTTAATTTAATGTAGACCGTAGCTCATTTCAAATTTCATTATTATAACGTATTGCACAGGTGCATAATACCTTAATGAACCTTCCTCATCTTGGTGTGATTGTAATTCAGAGGAAAAGTGGTGCTATAAGTACCTGTAGTCTGCCGGAACCATAAACTGGTGGTATCAAATGTACCCTCAATTTGTCCTGTTGTCGAACAAAAGAACATACTATATCTGGTACCACAGGAAACGGAAGTCTCTGTACATTCGGGGTATACGTAGTGGCTGTGATATAAACCTAAAGAGAAGAAAGAAGAGAATGTTGGTTAAAAGACCGATATACAGTGGAATCAATATTTCGGCATAAGTTCGGTTCTGTTGTCGAAAAGACAACACAATTGGCTAAAAAAGTACCACCGTTTGACAGGTGTTCACATTAAGCACTTCTTTTATATCGTGTTTTAAGCTATTTATTAACATTATATTCAGATTTCGGAGCAGACCTTATATTGAGGTCACATATTGTATCGTTATTATACCCTCCACCACCATCAGTGGTGATAGAGGGTATATATAACTTTGTCATTCCGTGTGTAACACCAAGAAATATTCACCTGAGACCCAACAAAGTATATATATTCTGGGTCCTTATGAAATTCTGAGTCGATTTAGTTATGTCCGTCTGTCCGTCCGTCCGTCCGTCTGTCTGTCTGTCTGTGTAAAACACGCTCACGTTAAGACGAAGCAATACAATTAAACCAAATTCACCCAAAACATTCATTATTATCCGGTACAGTTTGGTATTGAAAATGAGCAAAATCGGTTCACATCGTGAAAAGTTATGAATCAAAATTTAAAACAACCTCGAAAAAAATAAGCATTTTTTACACATTCTGATGTAATTTTCTTGAAAACTATGCAAGATAATTCCATGAAAATCACCATACGTTCGTTTCTACACAGGATCTTGATCCCTGCTGAAAATTGCTAGAATCGGTCCACAATTTCATATACCTCCCATACAAAAGTACATATTCCCGGAAAATGGGTTTTTTGCTAATAACTACCGTCACAATGAAGATATCTTCACAAAATTTCACAGATTAAAATGTTTTGTCAATAGAATTCATTCAGAGAAAAAATTTTCTGGATCGGTCCAAAATTGGTCATAGCTCCCATACAAGGTCCCCTCCCGAAAATCACTTAAACGCGCATAACTCATTACTAAATTACGATATCCATATAAAATTTGGTACAAGTATTACTCATATGCATAGAAATATTACTGTGAAACTTTTTTTCGATCGGTCCAAAATTGGTCATAGCTCCCATACAAGGTCCCCTGCCGAAAATCACTTAAACGCGCATAACTCATTACTAAATTAAGATATCCATATAAAATTTAGTACAAGTATTACTCATATACATAGAAATATTACTGTGTAATTTTTTTCCGATCGGTCCAAAATTGGCCATAGCTCCCATACAAGGTCCCCTCCCGAAAATCACTTAAACGCGCATAACTCATTACTAAATTAAGATATCCATATAAAATTTGGTATAAGTATTACCCATATGCATAGAAATATTACTGTGAAAGTTTTTTCCGATCGGTCCATAATTGGTCATAGCTCCCATACAAGCTACCCTCCCGAAAATCACTTAAATGCGCATAACTCATTACTAAATTGAGAAATCCATATAAAATTTGGTACAAGTATTACTCATATGCCTAAAAATATTACTGTGAAAGTTTTTTTCCGATCGGTCTATAATTGGTCATAGCTCCCATACAAGGTCCCCTCCCGAAAATCACTTAAACGCGCATAACTCATTACTAAATTAAGATATCCATATAAAATTTGGTACAAGTATTACTCATATGCATAAAAATATTACTGTGAAATTTTTTTCCGATCGGTCCAAAATTGGTCATAGCTCCCATACAAGGTCCCCTCCCGAAAATCACTTAAACGCACATAACTCATTACAAAATTAAGATATCCATATAAAATTTGGTATAAGTATTGCCCGTATGCATAAAAATATTACTGTGAAAGTTTTTTCCGATCGGTCCATAATTGGGCATAGCTCCCATACAAGGTCCCCTCCCGAAAATCACTTAAACGCACATAACTCGTCACAAAATTAAAATATCCATATCAAATTTGGTATAAGTATTACTCAAATGCACAAAAATATTACTGTGAAATTTTTTTCCGATCGGTTCATAATTGGTCATAGCTCCCATACAAGGTCCCCTTCCCAAATCACTTAAACGCACATAACTCATTACTAAATTAGGATATCCATATAAAATTTGGTACAAGTATAGCTCACATATACAGAAATATTACTACGAAAGTTTTTTGCGATCGGACCATAACTGGTCATAGCTCCCATACAAAGTCCCCTCCCGAAAATCACTTAAACGCACATAACTCATTACTAAATTAAGATATGCATATAAAGTTTGGCAGAAGTATTGCTCATATACAGGGAAATATTACTGTGAAATTGTCACAGCTGCTACAGAAAAACACTTAAAGGCACATAACTCATTACCAAATAGTGATATAAATAAATATTATTTTTATACATAAATACGATTTTTGTACACATAAATGTTAAATTTTTTAACGATCGGTATATCCTTGGTCATACTTCTATACAAGGTTCACTCCCGAAAATCACTTAAACGCACATAACTCATTACCAAATATTGATATCCATACATTTAGCAAAATCATTGCTCTTATATACATAAATTACACTATAAAATTGTTTTACGATCGCTCCATATTTGGTCATAGCTCTCATACTAGGTCCTCTCCAGAAAATCACTTAAATGCACAGTATTTATTACCAAATAATGATGTAAATACAGAATTTTAAAATTTTGCCTTTATATACATAATTGGTCATTGCTCCCATACAAGGTCCTTTTACGAAAATCTCTTAAACGCACATTAATCATTACCAAATAAAGCTATTGATACAAAATTTGGCACAAATATTAGTTTTGTATACAAAAATTCTATTTCAAGATTTTTTTCACGATCGGTTCATAACATGGGTGCGGTCGGTCCCATACAAGGTTCCCTTCAGAAAATCACTTAAACACACATTACTTATTACTAAATTACGATATAGATACAAAATTTGACTGAAATATAGCTTTTATGTACAGAAATTTAGCTTACAGAATTTTTTACGATCGGTCTATATTTGGTCATATCTCACATAGTAGGTTGCATTATCAATTTGTGTAGAACAAAATTATATATATGTATTTTGAAAATCCTTAAATCTTTCACACACACATGCATACATACAAATTACTAAATATTGCTAAGCGCTATAAAAAGAAAATGGCGTTTGTAATGTTCAATAAATCTTGGAATCGTAATAGATTTAATTTGTTTAAATCTTGGTATTTTTATATTTAAGACATGAGAAAACTTATTTCTACAAATATTTGATCAATTAGAAAAGTATTAATATAAAAGTAGCTGGTGGAGGGTATTTAAGATTCGGCTCAGCCGAATATAGCACTCTAACTTGTTTTTACAATCAAACCGTTTGCCGTATAAACATCAGGGTGATATTACTCATCAAATTACCTCCAGAGGACCCTTTATGAGAGGTAGGGTCAATTATTGAGCTTATTTGGGCGTCAATCATTTGCAGATTCTCTAAAAAGTCCGTAGTAGACTAGTAAGAAACTTACTTATGTCGAATTTCATCACTATTCTCTTAATTTTAACCCATTAATGAGCATTAAAGTAATTATCTGAAGTGGGTAGGGTCAATTATGGACCGATCCACATAAAATTTGGTAGAGAGGATTTTGCTCGTAAGAGACTTACTTATGTCAAATTTTATTGCTATACTCGTTAAAGTCGTTTTTTGAAGGAAACTTCATATCGGGGTAAGGTCAATTATGGACCGATCCACAGAAAATTTGATTGAGAGATTTTGGCTTCGTGAAACTTTGGTGTGTCGAATTTCATCGCTATAATCGTATTTTTAAGGCATTAATGAGAGATAAAGTCATTTTTTGAAGGGCACCTTATATGGAGGGTAGGGTCAATTATGGACCGATCCACACAAAATTTGATAGAGAGATTTTGGCTTGCATAAAACATATGTGTCGATTTTCATTGCTATTCTCGTATTTTTAAGCCAGAAATGAGCGTTCTAGTCATTTTCCGAAGGAGACCTTATATGGGGGGTAGGGTCAATTATGGACCAATTCTCATAAAATTTGGTAGGGTGATTTTGGCTCATATGAAACTTTTAAAACAGATATACCCGTTAAAGCTATAGTTCGGGGTCTACTTGTATGGGGGCTATGCGAAAATGTTGACCGATATTGCCCATTTCCAACACCAAATAATATTTGTGGAAACGTTCAA